GAGAACTTCTCTAAGAACTTAATATTTCTAGAAAGGATATTATCAAAGGCAGTATTCTTCAGAACTCAGATACACAATTGAGCAAAGAGGTACATTTACCTTTATATTAAAACCTGCTTTAGCACTCGTTTCTATAAACATGATTCCAGATTCACGAGCCTTCCCTTCTCCTTCCTCAATTGAAACTTGCCTGTTTATGCAGAACAATATAACGTTAGATCAATTCTGGAAAACGAATTTGTAAAGAATTTCTTGACTCGACTAATTCATTTGAACGAAAAGGAAAAGAAACTGCCGAATTGTCAATGTGACCTGCAACTAGATCGGAGGAAGCCTAAAGTCGCACCCTCAGCCTATGGGAGCATGACAAGATAAAGTGAATCACAATCAATATTTTTCCTCTCACCTTTTATCAACAAGATCAGTTTTATTCCCTACAAGAACAACAATGACATCACTCCCTCGTTCTGTACGTACTTCCTCAATCCACTTTGAAGTGTTCAAAAATGATTGTCGATCTGCGAAGGCATTAATTTATCAAAATAATTAGTTCAAGCAAGGATCACTAAATAACTAAAATAATTCTATATTACAAGAACTATGACTGACGATTAAAATTAGGTTAATAGAGACACATCAACAGAAAACTTCAAAATTTTGTTTCTTTTTTATGCATTATGTAGTAGGGAAGTATAACATCATGAGCTTGTGAAAGGAAACTCCCAGTGCTATTACTTACTAGAAACATCATAGACGATCACTGCTACAAAAGAATCCCTAATGTAGCTTGGAATAAGACTCCTAAATCTCTCTTGACCAGCAGTATCCCTGTGACCATAAAAGGTTTTCGTTTCAAAGCGTGTAAACAAGGATGTATGATGCAGTGTTCAAACTTCAAGGTAAAATGTATAAGATATTAAGTATGGTTAAATATTAGGATAATGCTATATGTACATAATGATGTATACAATAGTTTACATAATGCTGACATGGAAGAGAGAGAGAAAAAAAGAGATGAAAAGAAAAGAAACTTAGTTATTTTCGCTCTCTTTCTCTTCCATGTGATCATTATGTACAAATAGCATTGTCCTAAATATTAACATGTGACTGTGATTCATAAGCCAGTATCAGTAACATTAGGATAATGTTCTAACGTCTTCAGCCAAAATAAGGTAAAGAAAGACATGACTTGTGTATTTCGACTACAGCACCCGCTAATGCTATTCTTGCAGTGAGTCATCTGATAAGTTCACAAAACCAATTTTCATCCCCTCGACTTTCGTGAACATACCTTTCAAAAGGTACTTCTATGTTAATGGATAAATCCTACATTGATTAAATACCGAAATACAGACCAACGTATAAGGACTTGAGCTACCTCTCTTAATAAAGTTGATTTTTTAGAATAAAACCCTAAATCTTAATATGGTATCAAAGCCCATTAACCTCCAACGAACAATTCGATCCGATTAGAACTCAAAGAACGATCACACGAATTATAAGATTGGTCAGCTCAAATGAGCTATCATCTTGCGGGGAGATATTAAGTAATAAATTTCAAATCGGTTAAATATCGAAATAAAAACCAACATATAAAAATTTGAATTATTTCTTTTAAAAAGGTTAACATTTTAAGATTGAACTCTAAGTCTTAAAATTCTATAAGGATTATTTTGCTTGGCCAGGGCCAGGCCATCCAGGGGGACCATGTGGCCATGGCTAAATAGAAGAGTCCATTCTATAATCCACAGCCAGAAAGGCAAGAGAAGAACGTAATATTATGAAATGCATACAGTCATGCTTATCTTTGACAAATCCAGAAAGAAGAATACAATACCAGAGCTGCAATCGAACTGTTCGATCTTCAAGGTACATTGTTTTCGACAAGAAGTCAATGCCAATAGTGGCCTGCATATGAAATTACAAAATTCAGACATATATAGGTTGACAGAATAGAACTGCAATCTTTTAGATCGTCATATCACCAGCCATTTATATAGATTTTCAGTTTAACTTCAAACTTCTATATTCCTGCATTTTACATAGATGAGTGCTTATGTATCAAAATCATTTAACCTGACATTCTTTATTTCACAATTTCAGAACTCAAGGTAACTATCTTTCTGCCCCAGCCTTACTCCAGTTTCCCTATCGGTTCACAACTAAAAAACAATTCTGATAAACTTTCACCACAAATGTTGAAAATTAAATTATTCAATACAATAGTAGAAAAAGATTCAAATTCACAACACCCTTCTTCCCCGTTAAACTTCTCTAACAATTAGGAATCAAATTAACCCCGAAAATCATATCATTTCTCCCTAAATACATGCAAATTCAGATCACAAAACATAAATCCAAGAGCGATTCGCACAAACCTGATAAGTGGTGTCGAATTTATCATACATGAAACGGGTAATTATGCTCGTTTTTCCGACAGATTGGTCGCCGAGAAACACCAATTTGTACTTGGCTAAAGGAGACACCACCACCATCTCTGTAATGAGTATATATAATTGTACTTATGTAGTTTGAATTGTTACAATCATATGCATATACGAATCAATTTATTCAGTGGTTTTTCTATTTTCCAGAAATGGAATGAACAGATCAGATCAGATCTGGATGTGAAAAAAGAAGAGAGAAAATTAAGGAAGAAGAATGAGAATTGGGAGGTGGGTTTGTATTGAATTTGTGAATTTATGGAAATTGTGTGTGTTTTAGAAAGAGCCAGTCATGCCATGCACTAATCAAGTAATTTAAATTTTTTCAAGAGGAAATTACACTATATGTCAATATTTGTCTT